AAGTTAGGATCATACCCGGATCGCTTACCAGATACCAGCACCACTCTGGGTAGGTGGTAAGTGCTTATTGCAACTATTATCTCATGCCTCTAGGTGGATATTATTTTAAGTGATGCCCCATAAGAGGAAACCTTTTACAACTGCCCTCATCAAATACTCTACTCAACATATAAATTATTATATTTAGTGTCACAAAACATTAAGGAATCTTTCAATTTTTTTCTAGTAAACACAATTTGCATTAAAACTATTTATACGTCTATAAGACAAAAGTACCAATTACTGTTTGATCGATTTTAATAGTTTTCTACTGCACTGCGAAAATTACTCGGTTCAACGATATTGAAAAGATCGTTTTTGCTAATATTTCTCACCACTACGTAAATCTAACAATAATCATTTTAGCTACGTTTGAGGAATACTGTATTGCGTATGGATTTTAATCGACATTCGAACGAAATTTTTGTTTAACCTTCGCTTTCCACATACAATGTCATTCTCTGACCTAACCACGCCCTTGATCCTAACTAATGGAAAATAGTAATTTCTTATTTCAATTATTGTTGACCAATATAAATCAAAATAGACAACTTAAACGAGAACAAAATTAAGGAAACATTAAACACGTAGAATGTAAGGGGTTTTTCCCGCCTGCTAGGAACATTAGACGGAAAACCGGAACAAAGTAAAAAGTCGTTTTACAATTTCACACACGGCCTGTTCTCAAGGCACCAGGATGAGGAACCTGTCAAGCATGCCATCTCAGACATTACAGAATCATTTGCTCAGCCCTCTCAGGATATTTGCACTTATCCTTCAGATTTGATTAGACTGTTCACAGGATGTACTGCACGGTCTGCAGGCGGCGCGGCGGTCTAACGAGACCAAAATAGTTTATTGTACTAACCAAACACGTTAATATTTATATAAATTTACGAAACAATAGCCCAAGTATAAAACTTTTGTAATAATTCAAAATAGAAAACTTTACGCAAATTAATTGAGGTGAAACGTGTGTACATTTTAAATTGTAAACCTTTGTAATTTTTTTATAGAATTCGGGTGACAAACGACCACACAATCAACCTGATGGTAGGTGGATGCTGTGGCCCATAGACATCTACATTTATCCTCGATCGCAGAAGAGAAGAAAGATCGAAAACGCAAATACGTTGGCACCCCAAAGATGGAATGCCCCGTTTCCAGTAAATAGGGTCTCTAGTTCTCTATACTCAGCAGCTCGGAACACAGCAGCATTAATCTGCTATTTTAAACTGGTATTCTGTGAGAGCGTGGTCCTTCCCGGGTCGAGCCGACCCATTCGTGCTACAGCATGGCTCTAACACGTAAAGTAGTAAAAAATAATAATAACATTCCATTAAGTGCGTAATATTATAAACAATAGACATATCCTATGTATGTTAAAGCTTTTTTTAAATTATCGTAAAAAATTACACGGGGATACGCCCTTAGGAAATATAGCGGCCCAAGGAACTCGGCAACTGCCATACGAGTTCACAGTATGAGCCAATATTTGTTCAAAAAAAAACTATCAGACCTATGCTCTAACTTAGTTGACAGCAAAATACGGATCGAGATACGAGTAAGTTAGCACAGTAATTGAATTCCCCTAGTATTAATAAGGATAATTAAGTTTTATAATTATGTTACGCCTTTTGTATCGTAAGCGAATTAAATTTTAATAAAAAAACTATGTAAAATAAATAAGCTATATAAAATTATAATTTATAAAGTCCCGTTCTAGACAAAGATAATTTACGTAATATACACTCGAAATATTAATAACTTTTGTTTAATTCAACATCGTTTTGTTATTTTTGTAAATTAAAAAGTCTGTTTTAGTTCTTCAATCTTATCAACTTTATGAATATCGTGCTATGTACACTCAATCAGAAATTTATTATGGACGTCATTATCGCATGAAACTGGTCGTGATATTTAGAAATACCGAGGCGAACTGGGGTGGAGTGATTTATTCATTGCATTGAGCATATGGCCCCAGAAACAATCAACACGGTTACTTACAACGCACTGTGACATTGGCAATAAGTTTGCCTAGCGTACCTGGATAAAGTATGCATCATTCCATTAAAATATTTATAAAGTTGGTCATATTATGATACGGTATTATTTTTGTAAAAGCAGTCTTAACAGCGAAACACAACAGCTTTGAGTATTGACACAGAATAAATAATTACGTATTGATATAATGGTCTATTACTAAAATTCAGTTAAGTAATAATTTGCGAAACTGAAATAGAAAGAAGTAATTTGTGAACATTATTGCACTATTAAATTTTTAAGCAAAGCAAGGCTTTATATCACAAACAACAATGTACCTTTGGATGTACCTGGATTAAAACAGCCAGTCTTATATCTGAACATTCTTTGGTAAAAACCTAATGTAAAACTTTTGATATTTTTTTTAATAATTTGTCTTTTATGAATAACCTGACTTAAGAAAACACTTTCCTTATTGGTCCCATTCCCGACTGCCACTGTTCCAACTTATACTACTTATCTCTTTTATCCAAAGGCACATCGCCGAAGAGAGCCTGTTCAGTCTTGAGGTAAAAATTGATAAATTATTAAGAATTATGTTTCACAACCAAGCTTAATTTTTAAAATAATCTACAAAATTTGCAGAACAGGCTCAGCTGTGGATGGCAAAATTAACAATAAATATGAAAATCAAAAGTATAACATTTTGATATTGCTTTTATAGAAGTAACACCTTTATACAGTACAACCCTGATATAAAAATCTGAAGGAGATTACAAAATATTCATTATACCAAGTAATATGTTAGAATGAGTAGTTATATAGATGTTAGGTTGGTCTAAGATTCATTTTAGGTGAGCAGACTTAAAAAACTAAAATATATTGAAATGAATGCCTTACAACAGGAAACATTAATTTATTATGACAGTTTGAATTCTTTGATTGTCTTACGATAAATTGAATAAGTGTGAACCTGTAGGGACATTAATTCTTGTTAGATGGATAGATAGAACACTTTATAGAGAAGTTAATTCATAATGCAGCCAGTTCTAGGGAATTTCTAATAATTTGTTAAATTGAGGAAATTATTATATTGCGGTACATAATACTAAGGTTGTACTGTTTCAAGAATTAAGCCTATGAGACATTTTTAGAATTTTTGTACATTTTACAAACCCTTAAACAATAAAATTTACAGGTGGGATTAAAATATTGAAAGTAAACAGGTTCTTTGCTTAGCAAATTAATTTAAGTTGTGATGTATGCCTAATAATTAAATAAAATTATTTAATTTGTTCAAATTTATCATAACACATTACACCATTTGTAATTTAGTTATGTAATTATTCTTAATATAGGCAAAATATGTAAAGTAAATGTTATTTTCAGTATACAGGAATAAATGAGATGAAATTTGAGTTGGTCCCAGCCCAATTGCACAATTGTTTTAAAATGAAAACTAAATAAATGTAAGGACTAAGGTAATAAATTTATAATAAATCAAAATGATATACATATAATAAATCAAAATGATATAAATAAAATGATATATAGTTAACCATGCAGCTAATGGTCCAGAATTCTGTGAGAAATTGGTTTAATAATTGTAAAAAAATATTCTGTCCAGCCTGTATTGCATTCCCCACATTCCTTAAAAATATTTTTTTCATCAAACTTTTTGTTTTATTGGTTGATACCATGCAGACATTGAAAGTGTCTCTTAAAGTTCAAATTTTAAACATAATAATACTTTAAAAAGATGACATTTAAAAACTAAGACAAAAAATTTGCAAAAAGTGAAATATGAAGTGAACGAAATGATCATACTAATGAAAAAATCACTAATGATTGTTGTCACAATATCTCTGCACCTCGCTGGAATGAGATGCCACTCTCGCGTCCCCCTTACCACGCCGCGCTCGCGCCATATGCATTACTATAGTTAGCATCTTGTTATAATGATAATGACTAGTGTATTAATAATTGCACTTTTATTATCATCATCACTGTCACTTATGACGCTAAATAATAAATAATTTAGTAATAATGTAAGAAAATGATTTTAATAAAAATGATATTTTATGAATTCAATACTGCTTTATTAAGTTTTCATCACTAAAACCAAAACCATACATAGGATCTAATCTTGTATTATTTATTATTATTCATTTATTAATGAATAAATACATATTCATTCACAAAATCCTTCAATCTAAACATTATACATTTACTTTCAGTGGTTGGGTAAAAAATATCAAATTTTTATAGAGATGCTAATTTAGCACACCATACTGTGAATGTTACGTCAACGAGTGAGTTGCAGAGATAATGTGACCGAGTTGTAGATAATTATTTTATAAACCTATTTTAGGGACTTTTTGAATAAGACCTAAGCTTTTTTGAATAAGAATAAGATTACATATAATAAGTATAACACTTATATTTTTGCCATATGTTTCCTTATGATTAATAATAAGACTAGATCAAATGCAACTTTAGTAAGAACAGCTTTGTTTTCAGAATGACTTTATAAATGAATGAACAAATTGATTCATAGCACTGGAAGTGACCAACCCACAAGTTCAATATTTTGTTACTGATAGTGAAAATGATTCATTCTGTATTTAGGAATACTATCAGAACTAAGCAGCCTTTAAATATTACATTATCAGTATTTCCTGTAAAAACTATATAATTGCAGATTACAAATGGTAATAATAAATTACCTCAAACTGGATACAATAGCTTTTTTTAAATCTATAAACATACAAAACTCTTCAAAACAAAAATAATGTATTCACCATTATCAAAAAATTATAAATAGCAATTAAAATAAAATCTTATGCTAATATAATAAACACTCATCCATATACACAAAAGCAATAATTATTTTAAATGTGATGAGCTTGCTGGCAGTACACAATGTAATGAATACTACATTCACCAAATTAAAGCCTTTGCAAATGCAGGGATTTGACTCAAAACTTGAGCTTGGGTTTGAGCTCATGTGCACGACCACCCCAGTCAAGACGGTAGCACCGAGTCCGCCACGAGATCTCAGGGTTTAGAAGAGCAACTGCGAGAACTAATGGCGCACAGCACTCACTCCACACCCAACCAAGAAGGAACTGCACTTTTGTAAATGGTGGTGATCCATTCTGGACTGAACGGAGCATCAACCAGTCAGACAGGAACCACACAAGCACATGCACTAAGAAGAAGGGTAATGGTTCTGCGCCAAACAACTGTCCAGCCGCCCACGCGGCGCCAGCGCCGAGTGGCAAACACTCACTTAGGGGCTCGAGCAACACCGTAGTGGGCACCATGGCGATTCTCAACCGCGCCCAGCGCGTCAGCCTCGCCTGTAATGCACCCACTGATCGTGTTCCAGAATTTTGTAATGCAGGCAAGGATGCTACACGCATCCTCCATCCACGCGATACCACTGCTTTTGCCATGAAGTAATCCTCGGCAAGATATTCACCAAAAGCTGACAGTCCGCCCGTCTCCTCCAGAGCGCATCGTCGTATAAGCGATGACATTCCAACATGGCAATTTATTCCCAAGAAATCAGCACCGAGGTACATCCTAGCCTGAGCAGTACCGAAGTATACCTTTTCGTAAACACCGGCAAATCCCTCTGCATCACACGTAAATGGCATTTGATGAACAATCGCAACGTCGTCTCTCAAATGTTGCACCATATCAAGCAAAGTATCGTCTCGCATACGAATGCCGGCGTCGCTTATCAGTATCAGTGGATGTTTTGCTGCCAAGTAAGCCGGTTGCATGTTGTTGATTTTAGGATTAACACCGACACACATCCCGCCAACGAAAAGTTGTGCTTCAATATGTGGATATTTATGCAATAAACTGTTCACCAGCATTACAGCAGGGTCGTGCTCATTCTCAACACAAAACAGCACTTCGTAATTTGGGTAGTCAAGGGTAAAATATGTTTCTAAGTTGGAGAATAAATTAGGGTCTACGCCTGTTAACGGCTTAAGAATTGAAACCCCCGGATAAGGTTGCTCAGGAGGTGAACGGTCCACCGTCCTGTGTAATTTCCATTTCGAATACGACAATGACATTATGTGAATTAACCACAGACACACCCAGGCAACTATAAAAAATATTGCAAAACCATACACTGTGTACACCATGGGCATCATAGTTGTAAAATTCTATCGTTTTGGCGTTCGGGCCACATAATATCGACTGGTTTAATGTGTTCCAAACCGTGCGCTATGATAGTATCATAACACTTAACTGAACTAATAAATACTAAACAGTTGAAGTTAAATAACTACGTAACACAATACTTTGTATTTTATCATGTCATTTTTATACTTAGCGATCGAACACGAATTTATTTGTATGACAAACCGTTCGCTTTTTACCACTGCACTGCACAGCACAGACCAGCACAGACTAAGAATCTAAGAAAGACTACCTACTATACTAATAAATGGAGTATGGATACTATACTACTAGCGATGGGTCAATTCGAGTTGCTAACTCGAGTTGCGCTTAACTCGAACTAACTCGGGTTGGATTTCCATGACTCGAGTTTGGGCAGGCTGCTGTACATGAACGAATCAATCAAGCCAGTGAAAAAGTGAGAGTGGAGATTGGTTATAATAGTTCTGTGCACGCTTTGTGTTCCCGCCGTAATGAATCGACCAAATGACACCGACGATTAAACCAATTTTGCCGATAATATTATCAACAACACAACCACCGGCAACATGAGTTTCTTCAGAGCGCTCCATTTCAAAACCGGAATTGTGCAATGATAGAATAAATAGTTTAGCACTTAAAGTTACCCAAATTTTATTTATCAATAGCATTCAATAATTGTTTGTCTTCTTTATTTTTCAACAAGTACTGATTACACTTTTATATATCTTTCGTTTATTTATGACTTTCAAGAAAAAATAGTTTTAGTTTTTTAGTATATTATTTTTTTTTGCTGGAAATACTAACCTATATATATTTAACTTAGAAGAAGTTATGATTAGTTATTACAATATTAATGTTGAAAATACTTATAAATGTGTTAATTTAAATCATTGAGTATTATTTTTCATTTATTTATTCCGAAAATACTTGTAGAAATACATTTTAACTAAATGGTTTTATATCTTGTTTATTAGGTAATTAAAATATTCTAATTTGAGTGGTAATAATTAAATATATGTTTTTATTGCAAGGAATTGATCTAAGGCAATATAAAGAGCTACAACCAAAATAACTTGATATTTAGATTTTATAAAAGCTAAGCTATTTAAGAATATTTTGACTGTGATAGTTAAACTATTATTAGCTTATGAACCTATAATATCTTAAAGCTAGACCGATATTTTTGTGAAGACTGCAATTTAACTAGTTTTGCTGCTAACGGTACTTTAACTAAGATTAAAACCAAAAATACATAAGTATGTGATACACATTAAATATACCTTTTCATTTAAATCCTACCTACAAAGTTTAGTACTAAAAATGGTAATTATACGTAGACAGAGAAACCTATAGACTAATGTTTAGCGTGACCTAGAGTGAGAAAGGACGATAACGTATTTTAGGTTATACAATAATCTTTATGACTTTTAAAAATATTTAGATAAAATGTTTAATTGTTCTAAGAACTGAACTGAACAACATTCAACAATCTTAAGCTCACGAAACACTTTTTTTCTCACTTAAACTAACTTGTAAACTTCTTAGATCGCTACGAACTGTCAAAGTTGGTTAGCAAAGTGTAGTTTGCCAAACAAAAAAACCGGCACGGAGAAAGGGACAAACAATCACTCACAACAACACACACAAGAAGACGTCAATTTGTCTATAGGTTTCTCTGTCTACGTAATTATAGTTGTCCCATCCCACCAAAGAGATAGATAGAAAAACAAATTTATAAAAAGTAATTTGTAACAAATCATTTACTCTGTTTTGTACTGCTAACTCGAGTTTCAACTCGAGTTGCATGAATTTTAACTCAAGTTAACTCGAGTCGTAATTTTTTTGTGACATCATAACTACTACTAAACTTATAGGTACTACTGTCCAATAACCCAATATATACGGATATATTACTACTTTCCTATATTAGTATTTAGGCATGTCAATCTGAAATAGATTAATCGAAAAATCGAGTATTTAGAGTAAAATAATCAATTTTTAGATCGATTTGGGACACAATATCGATACGATGAATCGATCCAAAAACTTTTGAAATGGACTGATTCAAGAACTAGCGATAAAGTTTCTTAACTGGCTGCGATTTCTTACTTTCTGACTTTTTTGATGTTGTCGGACACAAACACAACCGGTCGTACTTGGCTGATAATTTGAACGCAACAAATATATATTTATGAACGTATCCAAAGATGTCTTTACTTACGTTTTTTTTTGTATAGACTAAGGGTGACAAACGAACACACAGTCTACCTGACGGTAAGTGGGCGTTGTAGCTCATACACATCTTTATTTATACTCGATTAATAATAAACATGTACAACGTCATATCAACATGCAGATGCGTTGTCACTCATAAGAACTAAATTCAAATGCCTCGCTTCCAGTAAAAAGGATCTCCAATTCTCAACACTTACTGATATTCTGTAAGGGTGTGGTTCTGCCTCGGGAGAGCCGACCCATTCACGCTTAATTTTACATGGGGAAGTGCATACCCAGGCAAGGACGGGTTATGTCGGACTCCCACCGACTAAAACCCCATGATGTTCCAACTTCGTCGCATATTGGCAGAGCCACGGGAACGCTTTCGCATACATCCGAGGACCCATCAGCGCTGGCCTTCCCATGGCGGCCCCTCCTATGAAGAAGACGATACCTCCCGCCTCTCCTTCTTAGATAAAGCGTATCGGAACACATGGCGCGCCCTTCTTCGTGGCCTTTAACTTCAAATGCGCAATAGACGCCCCCGTGTTCGATGCGCGAAGGCCATGGGACCAGGAAAAATGAGCATTCAGAAGCACAAGGCTTCCTAACCCAGCGGCGGATCTGATCTATGGCTCCGCCGCCAACCAGAATTCGGATCTGGTCTATGACTCCGCCGCCAACTAGAATGCGGATAGGGAGAGCGGCGTCTCGCAATACCAACACTTCTCTCCCCCCGCAGCCCCACCACCACCGCATCAATTAACGATGCGGCCCCGTCAGAGTCGCGGAGCATAGGGCGAGTGGCACATTACCATACAAACTCTCCTCTTCCTGCGTGACTTCACCTCGACTGCAGCGGTAGGGGTAGAGGGCACCCCTCCGCTACAGCCTACCAATACACATCCGAAGTGGGCTCGCTGAGCCCACTCGGAATGGCCTCCTTGGACAGTGTAGGGCTTAGGGCCAGGCATGTGAATTCCTACTAGTTCACCGCGGGTAACCAAGCAACAGCTACTAAGCCAACCATGAAAAGGCGGGAATCCATTCAGGCTACAGCTAATATAGCTGCAGCGTTGCTCTACCACGCATAATATATTATGTTACTTACTAATAAAAAAGTTGTAACTTGTCTCTGTCATTTCTAATCCAACCTGGAGTCTAACCTAATCTTTGATATGAATTTACTTTATTTACCAAAAATATACTGTGTCTGTGAGTAAATGCTTTATAGTAACGAAATAATTAGTATTATGTTTGTGTAGAGTATAGATTCGTCTAAATTTTATTTATCGAGGAATGTACGTTGCAGTTTGCACGTTTTTTTTAAAGTATTGTTGTTCGAATATGTATTAATATTGTTTGAAAATGTCGCGATTTATTGAAAATCGATCTTTTAATCATCGATTTAATCAGGAATCGTTTCTAGTATGTTCGATTTGAATCGAATTGGAGTTCGATTTTATTTTAAGTCAATCGACATGCCTACTGCTACTCATATTTATGAAAAAAAAATATAGTGCTATAACATAGATAAATAAATATGTGCTATAACCAGATTTTTGGCTAGGACGCTTGTCCTTTAAGCCATTTCTCAATATAATTCGGGATCTTCGTTTTTATAATTTTCGGGATCTTCGTTTTTCTGCACAATAGGCTGATGTGTCACACAGCGAATTTATTGGGAGATTTCGAGGACAGCTCAACCCAGTGGACAGTCGATGACGACGGTCACTAAAGTTCATAAGGCGCATAAGCGATCAAAATCTTAAGGTTTATATCAATATCGAAGCACTTGTTTCGTTAGTTCCTCTAATAGTCCACATGCGCAGAGACTTAATACACAAAATCGCATCACTTTTACGTATCGAAACCTACTTAAAACTTATACTTCTTAAAAACTAATTAAAAGTTATATACGTAGTCGGGGCTAGCACGTTCTAGGCCATGGAGGTTAGAGAACAGGAGAACGATCGCTACGTACTAAATCATAGCCCGCCTGACCTTGAAAATTTGTAGAATTTATAGCGGCGCTGTCGTCGGTGAGTAGTGTCTGCGAAGTTAGCTGTTCATGAGTACAAGTAGATGATTAATGTACAAATTTTCTTCGCGGCATTGGTGAGAAAATTTTTATACCCCGTAATTTTTTTATGTATGACAAAAGGAAACATTAAAAATGGATAAATATTATATTGTGCGTGGATGTGCAAGTCGTTTAGCATCAGATCAAAAATGACTTTTATTGAGCGAACTTAGCGATCGCAGTGCCTCACTTATGGTGTCTATGCGACTTCTATTGTCTTATTATTACGATTTCTGTGGAAAAGACCAAACAAATTAATATATGTCCAAACATTCAATGAGAAATTCGAGAAATCAACTGACACCGGGTGGGGTTTGCACCCACGACCTAAGCGATCCGTGCTGATGCTCTAACCAACTGAACTATCTACTGTGTCTCACGGCTACGGGAGTTAGTCTGTTTCTTAATAAACGTTTATATTTAATAAGTTTACATGTGCTATAACATATAAAATAAAATTAATGACATTAACTTGACTGTATTTTAAAGAACATTATCTGTCTAGAAAAAGATTGATAGACCCTCATCTTATATGAAATGGAATAAAAGAGTCATACAATTTATACAATTTACCATTTATTTAAATAAAAAATAAAATAGAATACAAAT